CCCGCCGAGTCCCTGGCACCGGACCCCCTCTTCCCGCAGCTACCCTGAAGCCCCGGCGGGGGACTCGGAGGGACCCGAGTTCGGGCCGGACCCGAAGAAGTCGTAGCAGAGCAAGTTTCTAGCGGTCCACACGGGAGAGGAAGGAAGGTGGGAAAGGAGTTTCCAGGAATGAGAGGACCGACCGGGACGGTGGGGTGCGGAGGACCGAGAGCGGGAGCCGGCAGGATTTGGGGAGCGCAGAGGGGAGCGTCGGCCGGGACGCGGGGGCCCGGGGAGCCAGGAGGATCGGGGGTGTGCGGGTGTGCGTGCGGCAGAGGGGGACTCGAGAGAGTGTTGCAGGCACCCGGGGAGTGGAAGGCGGGGCACTTGCGAGGAAGGAAGAAGGGAGGGAGGCAGTGGAGTTTGAGAGCGCCGAGGTGACGGGGTGCTCCTAATATCGCCGACGACGGGCCTCGGGAAGCGGGAGTTAGAAAGGCGTAGAGGAGAGCAGAGCAGTAGCCGCCCTGGGGCCAGGAGGGGAGAGCGATCAGAGGGGGCAGCTGGGCTGGCCTCCTCGCCCGAGTTTGCAGGCCGGAGAGACTTGCCCTCGCTCGTGGGTGTGGACCGAGAGCGGGCTGCGTGGCATTTGGGGGTCGGAACCGCGGCGGCGGCCTTGCGCCGGGCCCTGGTCCCTGGCCTGCCTTCTACCCCGCCCCAGGCCCTCGGCCGCGCCCCTCGCTCGCCTCCCCTGTCTGTTCGCACCTCCTCCGCTTTCCTGGCTCCTTTTTCTCCACTTTTTCCTTAACGCTCCGCGCTCCTCTCGGCTTTGTTTGTGTTCCAGTTGGTTTCTCCCCCTTCAGGCTCGGTTTCCCTCTCCCGGCCCAAGCCTGGGTCCGCCCCCGTAGGTGTGGTCCCCGTCTCACTCCCTGCCCGCCTCCGGGCTATTTTTACTCCTGGGTGGGTCTTGTGCGGATTCCGGCCCCGGGTCCTACGGGAAGAGGCTTCGAGGGAGGCCGAGGACCCCAGCGGAGCCCGGAGAACTCGCAGTGGGAATGGGGCGCCGGGGCTGGAGCGGTGGCCTAGGCCTCCCGGACCTCGGCCTCTCGGGGCCCTGCCCCCACTTCCTCGCCAGGAAGGAAGCTGCTGAGCCGAGACACGAGATGAATCACCCTCCACCTAGGGGGAGGCGGCCCTTGGGGGATGAGGTCACCACTTGCCAATTAGAGGACAGCCCCGTCAAGGCCCCCTGCGTCAGAGCCCAAGCCTGAGACCCCCTGAGTCTCCACCCAGGAAACATCGCGGGGTGGGGTAGTGAACCGGAACGCTGGCCTCTAAACTCCACCCAACCTCCCCTGTCCTTAGACCCTAGGCCACTCAGGAATCCAGGGCCCAATTTGGGGGGGTGCTGTGGTCTTGAGACAGGGTCTCTCTGTAGCCCGGGCTGGCAGCGATCCTGCTGCCTCAGCCTTGGGAGTGGGAGTGCTGGCCTGCCAGGCTGCTTACCCACTCTGGACAACAATCCTAGTCTCACTAAAGCTCCCTGCCCTTTCCTCTAGAGTTCCTAGAGGTCCTCTTAGTCCTCCAAGGCCCAGCCCCTCCGCCTCCTCCCACCTGTCTTTAATCTTCAGCAACCAGAAACCTGATTTTGCTGAAAGATTTCTTACTGATCTGCCCTAGGTTTGACCCAGGCCCAAGGGGGAAAACCCAGTTCTGGGGTGGCTTTTAGGGGCAGGACAGCAGGTGTGACATGACCAGGCAGAAAACAGCGGGTTTGGGAATAGGAGCTGAGAGACCAGCCAGGAGCGGTGAGGTGGACCAGGCCTAACCTTGAGGTGGGGGTTGCTTTTCAGGCTGGCAGTGATGGGGCCAAGATCGGGAACTGCCCCTTCTCCCAGAGACTCTTCATGGTGCTCTGGCTCAAGGGGGTCACCTTCAACGTCACCACCGTTGACACCAAGAGGTGGGCTCACTTCCGTTCATCTGTTCCCACTGTATACACAAGTACCACCGCCAAGCCCTTCTGTTTTAAGCCCTTTCCCCTCCACCTGGAGCCCATTTCTCTTCCTACTTCCCTCCATTCCCCTGTCTGCTTTTCCCTGGTGCCTCTTCCCTGCCCTGATGCCAGGCCCCTTCTCCAGGCGGACTGAGACGGTGCAGAAGCTGTGCCCAGGAGGGCAGCTGCCGTTCCTGCTGTATGGCACAGAAGTACACACAGACACCAACAAGATTGAGGAGTTTCTGGAGGCCATGCTGTGCCCTCCCAGGTATAAGGACACTGGGAGAACAGAGAGGGTGAAGAAGTGGAAGATGGAGACGGTGGCTGGGCTGGGGCAGGGAGCCAGCTGAGGCTCCTCCCGAGGAAGATCTCTCACCTTGTTTCTCCCGATGACTTTCAGGTACCCCAAGCTGGCAGCTCTGAACCCTGAGTCCAACACAGCTGGGCTAGACGTATTTGCCAAATTTTCTGCCTACATCAAGAATTCAAACCCAGCCCTCAATGACAGTGAGTCTGTGGGTCAGAGGAGTCTGTGGGTCCTGGAGGAGGGGAGGAGGGGCGGGAGGGTTGAGGCATTCGAGGCAGCTGGAAGATCAGTGAGGTGTCCGGCAGGTGGAGCAGATGTCGGCAGACCTTCTCAGCCCTGCATTTCTGCTTTATCCTGTGTCTCTGCCTTCTCATTGCTGAGATTTAAGCCTCTCAGTTGTTCCCCAGCCTCTTCTGCCCCTCTGGGGACCTTAGTTGGCTGCTGGCCTGTTTTCTGGCAGAATAAGGTTGTGTTTAAAGCACCATACAGACTACCTGGGTACAAATCTAACTGAGCAATTCATTTAACCTCCTGGTACATCCATTATGGATTTATAAAATGAGGATACTAGTACCTATTTCCTGCATAGGTGTGAGAATTAAATGAGTTTTTGTTTCTAAAGTGCTTAGAATAAGGGAGCAGTCGAGTGCCAGCTTAGCATATGCCAGGCCCTGGGTTGAATCCTCGGTACCACCAAACGAAATAAAAAAATGCTTAGAGTAACCTGTTCTTATGGTGGACTGGCTTTGCCACTGAACCTGTGGGTGTTCTTTATAGGCTGTGTCAGTCTTCTGATGTTCTCATCAGTGCCTCTCTCACAGATCTGGAGAAGGGACTCCTGAAAGCCCTGAAAGTTTTAGACAATTACTTGATATCCCCGCTCCCAGAAGAGGTGGATGAGACCAGTGCCGAAGATGAAGGCATCTCTCGGAGGAAGTTTCTGGATGGCAATGAGCTCACCCTGGCAGACTGCAACCTGTTGCCAAAGCTGCACATAGTACAGGTGGGCATTCACAGTGGGAGGAGAGGGTGGCAGCTGCGGTGCTCAGGAGCTCCCCTTGGGCTTCCCATAACAACTGCCCAGAGGCAAAGGTGGCTTCTTCCTGAGAGTATTTCTGTAGGTTGCTGTCAATGGCAAACGCCACCCCAGGCATCACAGCCCAGGCCACATTAGTCTGTTTGTGCACGTAGCCTGGCTGGGACACACATTCTAGTATTAACCTTCGAGAGACTCTTCCTGCCTTTATATCACTGCCAAATCTTCAGATCAGTCTGGGCATGGCGGCACACGCCTGAGGTCTAGTGCTCTTTGAGGCTGAGGCAGGAGCTTCACAGGTTAGAGTCCAGCCTGGACAACTTAGCAAGACGGTCTCAAAATTGGAGAAAAAAAAAAAAACAAAACGCTAGGGCTAGTGATGTAGCTCAGTTCAAAGGCTCTGGGTTCAACCCCCAGTACTGGGGCGGGGAAGACACATCCCCAGATCAGACAGCAGGCTTTCCCTAAATCAAAGCTATAATTGTGACTTCCGTCTCCACTTCCTCTTGAGGAAGATGAAAACTGCTTGCTTCTCATGCTTTTGTCAGCTTCAAAGCAATGGTGCAGTTTATGAAACATGAGCTAAAATTAGTCTTCCATGCAGCTGAGTAGTGAGCATCCATGTAGTAGACACTGAAAGACAAATACTGTTTGATTATTGTTCCTTTCACATGAGAAAGTTAATAATACATGACTGGGCTAGGGATGTAGCTAAGCAATAGAATGCTCACCTAACACATAAGGCCCTTGGTTCCATACCCAGCCCAGGAAAAAAAAAAAAAAGACTGAAAGTCAAATGATGAAACAAAAACAAAAAGTCAGGGTAGAAAGAGAATTTTAGAGGGGGGATTTAGCTCAGTGGCCCCATGCCTGCCTTGCAAGTGCAAGGTCCTGAGTTCAATCCCCAATACCGCCCCCCCCAAAAAAAGAATTGTATGGTCTATAAATTATATCTTTTTTGTTTTGCTGCTGGGATCAAACCTGACTTTTTTTTTTTTTTTTTTGTATCAGGGGTCGAACTCAGGACCTTGTGCTTGCCAGGCAGGTGGTGGAACCACTGAGCTAAATATTTACTCTGGCCCTCAAACCTGACTTTTGTACATGTCAAGCATGTATTCTACAGCTGGACTACCTCTCCAGCCTGTTATCAAATTTTGTTTTAAAAACCTGAGCCAGGAGCTCCAGGATGATGGCACACATACACTTGTAATCCCTGCACTCAGGAGGTGGAGGCAGGATTGCTCTAACTATATATCTCAACCCTGTCTGAAAAAACAAAAGGGCCAGGTATTTGGCACAGTGGTTCCGCTGCCTGCCTCACAAGCACAAGGACCTGAGTATAATCCCTGGTACAAAACAAAAAACAAAAAAACAAAAAACTCACCAGCCACTGTGGAACACTGAGGCAGCAAAATGGCATGTTCATGCCTAGACAGGGTGATTTATTGAGACCATGTCTCAAAATTTTTGTGCAAGGGTCCTGAGTTCAACTCCCAATACTGCCAAAAAAAAAAAAAAAAAAAAAAGAAGAAAACAAGGGCCAGGGATTTAGCTCAGTGGTTCTGCCGCCTGCCTCATAAGCACAAGGACCTGAGTTCGATCCCTGGTACCAAAAAAAAAAAAGAGAGAAACTGCTGGGATTTCAGTAGGTGAAGAAAGGGGTGAAGATATTACAATAGAGGAGCTGAGAAAGCTAATTTGGAGAAGACAGTTGTAGGAGATAGCTGGAGGCCAAGGTTCTTGAATGCCTGGAGAAGAAGTGTGATTTTATCTGAAGGAAAGTGGGCAGCACAGCCAGCGTGGCTTCTCTGGCCTTCACCTGTTGGTCTGGCCCCACTTCCCACCCCCAGGTGGTTTGTAAGAAGTACCGGGGCTTCACCATCCCTGAGGCCTTTCAAGGAGTGCATCGGTACTTGAGCAACGCCTATGCCCGGGAAGAATTTGCCTCCACCTGTCCAGATGATGAAGAGATCGAGTTGGCCTATGAGCAAGTGGCCAAGGCTCTCAAATAAGGCTGTGGCTGTGTGTGGGCTCCCTGACCCACGTCCTCCATGTTCTCCACAGAGGTCCTGGGTGCTTTCCACATTTGGATACACTCCAAAATGGCCAGAGGTCCGAAAATCCTGGGCACTTGTGCAGGTGTGGGTGGGTGGCTGGCTGGGGGAAGATAGGGGATATGGGTAAGATTTTTATTGTGGGGTGGATGGGTAGGACAATGTATTTCAGTAATAAAATACAGAATGAAACTGGTGTTGTATTTACACAAAGAAGGCTTGAAGTGCAGTTGAGGGAATGAGGGGAGGGTCGGTGATCTTGAGTTCAGGGGAGCGGCCAGCAGTGAAGTAGCCGCCGGGTGTTTGTGGCTGGCTGGGCTGTCATTTTCAAATCCGGTCCACCTTATGACTGTTC